GGCTACACTGGATGGGCACTATTTTAATCCTGAAAGTCACCTTAGCTTTTCAAAATTTTATATATTTATATGACTTTGATTGTTCACTAATACACTGAACTGAGTTTTAAAGAATTCGTACAGTGCAATTACATTACTGAATGCATGATCATGGCCTCCGCAAACCACCAGGGGCCACAGACCACCGGTTGAAAACCCCTGGTATTGTGCATGCAGTTACTTGCTTTGGTCATTTATGGGATTTATTGACAATAAAGGTAATGCCCGAGTTACTCTCTAAGGCCTGTCACGTGCACTTTTCTATTTACAACTAAAACATAATGTATCTGCTGACTCTCCTCCTGTCATTACGGTGCTGTGCAGCATAGACAGGCCATATCTACAGCACGTTAGCTGAGCAGATTATGTCAAAGCCCTCGGTGCTCAATAATAATCGAGCTGTCATTGGCCTCTGAACATATGGCATCTACACCACAAACCAGCACACACAACAATTAATCCCAATTATTAGCTCAGCTATCAAAACCTAATGTGTACGCTTCAGCAGCTCTGATGAAGCTTCACTGGAAGGGAAATTCGATTTCACTGCGCCATCAGTAATGACAAGCACTTGATATCTATAAGACACCAAGGATTTTGAACCAAAGGGAAAGAAGAAGGATAAAAATTCCATGCTTGCAGTGAAAACCATCAGTGCTTAACAATTTTTAAGCGCAGCTGCCAGTGTAACCCTGTGCCATAGATGTAAACAAGCTCCTTATTTAGAGGGTTCAAGAACAGCTTGCTCTCTTACTGTGGAACATAATCACCGCATTTGTAAAAGTAAAGCAGGGCTTTGAATGTAACCATTCATCTTGAGTTACCATGTTGTCAATCAGACATCAAGGCTCTCCAAGGTCTGTGCTCTCCACAGCAACCTACCTTGTATTAGAGAGCCTAAAAGGCTTTGCCACAAAGTGCCAAGCAGCCCAGGTTCCTGACAGCGGGACCACAAAGAGCCAACGTACAGCAATTACAGTCTGTGTTAATATCACATTAGGGACAGGGTGGTTTCTCTTGTTTGATTTGGCCGTGTTAACTGACTTATGTTTTATGTTTTCCACCGTCACAGTAGAATGGAAGGCATTACACATAAACACGGTGGCATCTCAACAGGTCCTGCAACAGACACATCCACGTCCTTCCTAGAAATACCTAGAGACTTCAGCCCCTCATTCTGTCCAGCCCAGTTGAGCAGGTATTAAACATGCTCCTAGAGCAGCTCTGATTTTCACAACCTAAGCAGGTCGACATGACAGCACAGTGCACTGTTCAGTATCTGAAAGAATGCCACTGAAACCTTACTGTGTTAAAACAACCACTGTAATAGTGATGATACTGCTGATGATTCACTGCTGGCCTGTTGCGATTTGTCCACTGCAGTGGGGGTAGGGGACTGAATTCACCATTTTCATTTCTTTTATGTCAGACTGTGTGATGTGATTGAATGAGATTTAAAGGCCAATTGAAGGCTCTTTTGTTTTAAATTGGACTGCGGGTAATATGAGGCTATACCCCACATCAGTCACCAAGGATAAGGTTTAGTCAGACGCTACTGTGTCATACTACAATATAATTTTGTACATATATTACAGTATGAAAGCCTTTCTCCCAGTGTTCTACAGTAATGTTAAATACTGTTTAGCTGATGTGTAATTTCCTTTTGGAGCAGATGCACCAACATCTGAAGTGGCAGTAGTTTGGAATTCAGCCTCCAACAGGAGGAAATGAAGAAATTGGGTTGTTACACGTACTGTTTTATTTTTTTACATGAGCAAATTCATTGTAAACAGTCATGTAATTTTAAAATGGGATTACTTTTCTGCCAATAATGGATCCGGTGGAGGAAACAGGAAATGCAACAGAAAATAATGACTATACAGTGGAAGTCATATGTCTTGCTCCTGACCCTATGGATCGAAGGACCTTACTTGAGAATACAGTAGCTACCGTTATGTTCAAATAAATCATTTTAATATAAAATAACTGAAGATTACATTGAGGTGCCACAGTAGATTGTTTGCTTATAGTCTATGTAACTGATGTGTACGCTTTCCAAAACATACAAACTGTTTTGTATTACTTGCAGATTAGCAAATTTTTTTTATGTTGGAAAAATCTTAAAACAACATATGGACATAAAGAAGAAGGAAGTGAAAGAGTTTTATTTAACAATCTACACCTGTAACAATATATTGTATGTTCAATGAATAATTATTAGTAACTGCATAACAAATTTGTGAGCAAACCTAGGAGGAATAAAGTTAAACTGTATCGGACATAAAATGTTTGAGAACATATAAATTATGTCAAAGCAATAATGTCAAATATACAAGATTTATTAAACTGACCTTCATTGAATGCATCATATTGTTCACTATACATTCCATTCTGTGTGGAACGATACAATAAAATACACATAGTAAATACAAATACTTTTTAAAAGTGAACTCATTTCAAATACTTTCTGCCATAACCAGTAGGGGTCAGAAATCTTAGGCATGATGCCTGATTTGGAAGTGGCATAATGCTTGTGTTATGGCATGCTATCATCATCTTTATTTAGTGATTAGTTTTATTTATTTTTAGCAATGTATAAACTCTCAGTACTGTCTGTTTGGAATCTGATCTAGGGCACTGCCAAGGGCCACCCTCATGGGCACAAATTATATTTTTTGCACCTGCATAACTGTGACGGTTCATGTGTCATATGTAAATGTTGTTATCTGGCAGATGTCCTTGTGCAGCCTTCGTCATATAAGCACCCATCCCCGTTAGTTTCTTATATCAGGGCCTTTAGACTTATGTACAACTTGGGACATAAAGAACATTGTGTTGACATTTACTCATAGTCACTGATCTGTTATCTGGAGTTCTCATTTATTAGCCCTTCCCCTGAGTATGCATTAGATCTTTATAGGCCAAGACTGAATTAAGAAACTGTTTGTCAGTAAGTATTTGAACACCTGAGAAAATCACATATAAGCACCCATCCCCGTTAGTTTCTTATATCAGGGCCTTTAGACTTATGTACAACTTGGGACATAAAGAACATTGTGTTGACATTTACTCATAGTCACTGATCTGTTATCTGGAGTTCTCATTTATTAGCCCTTCCCCTGAGTATGCATTAGATCTTTATAGGCCAAGACTGAATTAAGAAACTGTTTGTACTTATTCTTGAGTCAGATGAAGCAACATCATTGTAGGCCTTCTCAAAGGTTCCCTGGTGTGACTGTGTTAGTCATCTATCCTTTCCATAAATTAAGCAAAGGACTGACTCAAAATGAACTGCTGTTATTTATAAGGAATAAGGACAAGCCTGCAGTGTATTCACTGGGACCACTGTGCTCTGACCTCTGATTCACTCACATCATGTCAGTGTCTAGCTTTAATTCCAGACTTTTCAGATATGGTCAAAACAACATCCTCATATAAGGATTAGCAGCTAAACTGTGGTAGCCATAATTTAGAGTGAAAGCCTCTGCAGCATGGTGCTTTACCGTTAGCTACCATCGGCTGGGTCCTGTTTTCAGGTAAATAAACAGTGAGCAGGTTTACACACTCCCAGACAACTGTAGCTAACTGTTTCAGATGCTGTCCAGCTCCTCCATGCATATCCTCACTTTCTCAGTCTGTCTTGTTTAAACACAGAGCAGTCCGCATCAATCTGAATATTTTTCTGAAGTCAGTGTCTTTAAAATAAAATAAATACAATGAAAAAGATTGTAACACCGCATGCAACAGCATGCCGAAGGTTTCGCATTTATCCTGGGATTTGGCACACCTCCATAAAGACTGCTCAGTATGATGGCTGCTCATGGTGTTGGCCAGCAAATACATCTTCCCTTTCCATGCCACTAATTTCATGTATTATTAGAATGGAACATAGTCTTGACAGATTTCTGATGTGATGTGAGCCTAATAGATCATTTTGTGACAGTATTTAGAACCAGTTTTTATGAGTCTATAGCTGATCCTTCTCCCCTACATATGCAGTATCATGTTAGCGAAAGCTGGAATAAAACTTTGATGCTTATTTCTGGTGGTGTTGACATTTTCCAAGACGTGCACTGTAATTTACAGTAGGTACTGGTATGCATTATTTGCACAGCCAAGAGGATTCAAAATGAGTGATTTGATTTAACAAATCTCCCAACTGGAGTTCCATACAGTAAATAGTATGATTCAAATCATTTAAAAGACACTGTTTGCACTTTATCACTGTATGATGTGTGAGATTATGCACTGATACGCAGCACCCATTCAGTATTCTTTGCACAGTGAACGTGAAATATTTTTGAGGCTGGAGATACTGAACATCTCAGTCTTTTCTTCTTCTCAGCCATTTTGTGACACTGTGAGGCCAAGACTTATCCTCAGTCTATTTCCCAGGATAAGGCTCTGCACCACAGATTGAGAAGCACAGGTCCCCTTTAGTCGCTCCCTTTTTAGCCTCCTTTTTACCTTTCTCAAACAATGGATCCTGCCCCACTCCAAGCAGCAGCCCCCAAACACTCCTTGAATAAAGTTAGTCCAACATGCGGCCCTTAAACCCACCCCGAGACTGCTGCCGGGCAGCCACACTCACAGAATTGTTTGTTAATAGTCCAATTAGATAATTGCCATCTTTCACTCCTTTTCCTCTCTGTTTCCCATAAAGGCATGAATGGCACTCAGGGAGGGGGGCAGCTTGAAGAGGGCTTCTGGCCAGCTAAGGTGACAAGAAGGGCCAGAGAATGTTCCCTGCACTAGGCCACCGGTTTGAATTGAATCATTGTGGCCTAATCAATGGTCTTATTGGATTACTGGCCACTGCTGTGTTCAGAGATATTGTTGCACTGACAATGAAAATAGCTAAGAGTTGGTGGTTGGGTGGGTGGGTAGTGGGCTGGAAGGCGAGTGGTGGAGAGAGGTAGGGGCCATTCCAGGGGTATGCATGTGCGAGAGAGTGTGGGCAGTCTAAGCACTAGTGATACGTTTTGTTCCCCCTTTTTGTCTTTTTCAGATACGCAAGTTAAGATTAAGAGAGCTGAAGATGGCTTCTGCGGTGCAGTCATTTTAATATAGAAGAATGTGGCATTAACAGGCAGGACCTCGCTGGGCTGCTCTGCATCGCTCTCTGAATGAACGTAGGACGACAAAGGAAACTTTTAAAACTGTTCCAAATAAAGCAGAGCCCGGTGCTGCTGCCCTGCTGAAACCGGCTGGGTCGTCACTGCCTTCATGCGGTTTGATCATCGCAGATTTGTTCATCTATCTCATTCTCTCTCCCTCTCTGGTTCTTTCCCAGTGTCTCATGCCTACAATAGCACAGTGGCAAGATCTGCACATTGCAGAATTCCGCTGACTAGCGAGAGAGCCAAAGGGAACGACGGGATTAAAGTTCACTGGCATTCTGCGGCAATCAGGTGCGCTGCGAAAAGTCTGGGGGAAAAAATGTCTGGTCACATTCTGCGGACAGAAGAATGAAGCACCCGGGAACTTTTTTCAGGTCTGGAAGAGTCATACCCGCTATTGTGTGCAGTCATATGGGGTTCAGGGAGGCTTGGTTGCGAGACAAGACCAATCATTTGTCTTGATTTCCTGGGCTGAGAGCAGGCAAACGGAGGGAGACAAGACGAGCAAACCCCGCTATCAAGACCTGATCTATTTCCCCAAACAATTTTGTGTATTCATGAGGTTACGCAAATGTGAAGGCAGCAAAATTACCGTAATCAATTGAAACAGTGAGTGCGCATCCATGGGTCTGATTATTTGGAGATCATCTATCAGCCTGATGTCTATGTAAGGAGGAAAGGAGGGCACTGAATTACTGTTGAGTTTCACTGAGAAGTCCATGATCATTGGGCAAAGGGAGTTTGGTCAGTGATAATAGGGCTCCTTGGTCGGGCGAAGGAAGTGCTTTACCAAGCATTAGGTAGCTGACTCTGCCCTGCTGAAAGGTGCAGTTTTGAAACTAAAACCGACACTGTCCCAACAACCTGGTGTACCGCGCTCTCTGTGATATCTTTTTTTCACCTGACAAAGGAAAAAAAGACAAGCAACAGATCCAAGAGGATAAACTGAGCATGGAGGTCAGGTACAACCAAGAGACGGAAGGAATGGTGCTGAAGAATGGACTAAAGGAGGGGAAGGACAGCAAGGACTCCCAGGGCAGCTTGTCCAAAAGCTTCCTCAGGGAGCAGCAGGACACCTTTTCCCCCTCTGGGACTGTGGAGAGCTGCGAGAAAAACAGGGGCGGCACGGGCGACCCAGACTACTGTCGGAGAATACTGGTCCGAGGTAAGGCTGGTGTTTTTTGGACTGTTGTGTGTTTTTGTACTATAAAAAAATCAGATCGTTTTTTTTTTTGAGGAAACAGTCTAAACTGCCGTTAGATTCACCTGCATTTATGCCAGTATCGTTGATACAGCGTTGTGAACTGAAGCCTTTGTAATAACAGACGGTGGGTGTTGATGCATAGAGAGAAAGTTGGCAATTCACCTTATTTTTAATCAGAAGGATTTCATTTAAAGTTAATAGCAAAACGTCCCCATAAATTAAAAATCTGTCATTTAAAATAGCACAACCTCTGGGTTTTTTCAGTTTGACTAACATAGAACTAGTTGTCATGAAAATTAGTTAACTGTTATTTTTTTAAAAAAGGGGAAAATATTTGATTAAAGAAAAGAAAAGAAAAAAAGCAACGTACCTTCAAATTTAGAGCGCTCTTTCTTCAGGACTAGAATTATTTTTTAACACTGTGACAATTTAAATCCCCTTTTTAAAATTTCATACTTACATGATAAGTAATTATTCAAAAAGGTTTAATGTTAATTATTTAAATTCAAAATTCACATATTTTCTTTGTTAGGATTAATTGCTTTAAAGGTCACACCTTTATAGAAGAATGTCTACATGGCTTTATACTTTGTGTACTGCATTACACTTTCAGGGTGTTACAAATTAAAATGACAAATGTTTAAACAGCAAAAAGAGAAGGTGATTGGAGTTTTTAACAGATATTTAAAGTCAGAAAATCATACGTGGGATTGTGTGTAGGAGTGTCAGGTGCTCCATGTCGTTTATGTAATTCCTTTTATTCAGTGTTGGCCCAACACCGTGAGCATATGAAAACAAACGGTAAATATAACTTCACCATAAACAGAGAATTAGTTACATGAGATATAATGAAACAGTGCAGCCTCACTTCCTAAAATACAGAGAAAATCTTTCTATAGGAGCAGTTTTTGGATTTGAATTTATGTATTTATTGTTTGTAATAAAATAACAATAATAATAATAATTATTATATAATAAATTTTATGCAACCAGTTTTATTTAACATAATATGAAATTATGGTAAATCTTATTCTAGCTTTAAAAAATGTTGCACCTACTTTTTAAAACAAGCTTAGTTTCATTATTTCAATATTGTTTTGAGGACAAGTTGTAATTTTTCTTTTATGCTAACATAGGTGTGGATCACACGGGTGAACTGAAATAGAACCAGGTCATATTTCCATCATTTTTATTCAAATGTTTTCATGTAATCTTTACCTGTTTGTCAGCACTTGGTATATACATAAATCTATCCTTATCCATCTTATTTACAGTAAATTCAGCCAAATAACAGAACACTGGCACCTTAGAGTTTGTCATTTGTGCTATTTCACCTGGACTGATATACTGTGACCTAACAATTTAAAATGCTGGGTGTTGTCAGTTTAGTGTAACATATAATTTACACAAACAGTGCTAGTTTTTACAGTTCATCATGTTACACTTACTGTAGGTCTAGTATTTTTAGTAAAAACAATTGTTATGGATTTTGTGTACCTCCACTTCTGTGCTTTCATAGTAATAGTACTAATACTACTAATAATGATACTTCAGGTATTTAACAACATGAAATCAGTCCACACCTAAAAATGTTTTTTACATCTTTTAAAATATAAATGTTTAATGTATTTTCTTTTCTAAATGTTACTTGAATGATTTTAAGACTGTCAGTTCATATAATCAGTAAGCACTGTAAACAGTTACCGCCAATTGTTCCAGATGCTAAAGGCTCTATCCGAGAGATCATTCTGCCGAAGGGTTTGGATTTGGACCGGCCCAAGCGGACCCGCACCTCCTTCACTGCAGAGCAGCTCTATCGGTTAGAGATTGAGTTTCAGAGGTGCCAGTATGTGGTTGGGAGGGAACGGACTGAACTGGCACGCCAGCTCAACCTGTCTGAAACTCAGGTATGTATGAGCATATAAAACTTCAAAATGATGCATCTGTACCATGCACTGTAAACAGGAGGATCATTTCTTTTTCACTGATTTAATGTCTTTTGTTTTTGTGCATCTATTCTCAGATAATCATATTACAATCTGTTAGGACCACATGCTTTGATAGAGAAGAAGGAAATTTCACCTACACAATCAAATTGATTTTGGATTATTTCAGAATCAGAATCAGCTTTATCGGCCAGGTGTGTTGGACACACGAGGAATTTGACTCTGGTACAGTGGCTCAGTGTGTATGGACAATGTTCTTCTGTAAGGCAATAAGTAGACAAGATAAGACTGAGAGAACAAAAAAAGAAAATGAATGTGCAAACAAGAAAAAGGAATGAGCATTAAGAAAATATAAAATAAAAATAAAGTACTTATACACACACACACACACATATCTGAATATTAAAGAATATTTACAGGTACCACACTGAGGGTTGTCGTTCTGTTATACAGTCATGGGCTAAGTGTTCATCAGAGCAATGGCCCAGGGGAAGAAACCGTACTTGTGTCTGTTGTCCTGACGCACAGTGACCTGTAGCTCCGTCCATTTCATTTGAAAGGCACGACACAAATAAACAATTAAGTCCAGTTCAGACAGTTGGGTTATTTCAAGGGTGGATCTTTTTTTCATATAATTTAAAGTGGTGCAGACACACACATTATTACAGAGTTTAAGATGGAAATAAGAATTTGGTCTTTCACTGCTGATCATATCTAAAATATAGGATCTGTTTTAGAAATGCTGCTGATGTAAATGCACATTTAATGGCACTAGTAATTATTTAAAACTTGTAGCTGCCAGTTTATTTAGGAGTGTGTGAAGGTTCCAGGTCAGTGTTGAGATTAGGAGTGTTGGTGAGATCTCTTGGTTTAGAGAAATCATACTAATTGAGTTTCCCTTTAAAGTAAATGTAATCAATTAGCCTTGTTAGTAAACTAAATATAGTGTCTACATAGCTCACTGAGCACCTGAGGATGAAGTGCAGATGTCCTCCTTGTGTCCTACATGTGGGGTGTCCGCCGTGTCCGAGCTGCATCAACGCCCTGTGTTTGACACTAAACTCCACGGCGAGTCATCCATTTACTCTGTGGTTTGGACCACGGACATCCGCTTCAAAGCTTTGGGACATGTTTACCTCAAGGTTCTTCTTCTTCTTCTTCTTCTTCTTTTTTTTTTAATTGGCAAAACGGCAAACTGCGCCGTCGGCTTGTGCGTTTCAACGCGGCTGAAGCAGGTTGACCTCATCAGCCTGTTCTCACAAGATGACACTACAGCCGACAACTTTAATCTGCTTGATTTATAGCAAACTCATTGTTCATTTTACTAACAGCTACACACACTTATTCACTTTAACTTTATACATTTTAAATGCTTTATGATTTCGCTTTTTCTTTGTTCACATGAATTCAAAACAAGTCAATTAAGTGAGTGAAGATGTTATTTTGCTCATATAAAGGTAATACAGAAAACACCCTATTGAGGCAGGACAAAGGCTTCAGGATTTTCTCCCAGTGTCCCGATGAAATGCCTTTTAATGACAACGTGGTGAGACTAACATTTTGTTCCCTGGCACTTGTGGCTGGGTACATTAAAAACCACAGCCATTTGCTGTGTGCACACCTAATCAGCTATGTTTGAGCTATACCAGCCTCACCTTGTTTTCTTTGTGCCGAGAATGTAACCTTTAAAATGAACACGACGTTCCTTCTGAGCAGCCTTTACGTTGTTGAATTGAGCGACAGGGCTTCTTCTCTTGACGTAAAATGGTTGTTAACAGCTGGCGAGGAGTTAAACCACCTACTGAAGTGAGGAGAAAAGATATTCAAATGTGATTGGACTAGCAGCAGGACTGAGCTGGAGGCTTGTTGCTGATTGGCACATGTACATTTTGTGCCATATGAAAGCAGCCAGGGGTGATTACTGAGGATTTACAGGTACAATTCAAACAAAAGCCTGTATTTGTTCCAGTTTTGACATTTATTCAATTAAGCAGATTGTGAAACTGAATAATGGACATGTCGAAATAACTAGATGGATCTGTTGAGCCAGATTAATTGACTTGATTGAATGGGTTCAATTACACGGGTGGCAGTCTTGTTATAGTTTAAGGGATGCTGTAACCAAGAATGCATTGTTTCATCTTTAGGTGCAGGGTAAAGTGGTCAAGTTTCTGTTTTCTCTCCCTTAACCTTGATACTTCAGTGGATATATATACACACACATAATATCCAAAATATCTGCAGCATTACTGAAAAAATTGGTATAGTACAACATTTTGGTTGCAACAGTAATACTATTCGGTTAAATTAAGTGTAAATATGGGCATTTTGACATTTTCTGAGACATATGCAGCCACAGCAGCCTTCTTAGATTTTTTTAAAAGCCAACGTAAAATGTAGACTTTCTCATTTACAGTCTGTGTAATACACCTACCGCTGGTGGAAGAAGTACTCAGATCCTTTACTTAGTTAAAAGTAGCAATACCACAGTGTAAAAATACTTTCTTACTTACTACTACTCTTAATAGTCCTGCATTCAAAACGTTACCTAAGTAAATGTACAAAAGTATTAGCATCAAAACATAAAGTACTAAAAGTAAAGTACACATTACGGAGAATGGCACATTCTACATCCCTGTATATCATATTATTGTATTTTAATTACTGATGCATTATTGTTCACATCACATGTGCAGCTGGTAAAGGGGGAACTAGTTTTAACCAGCTTATATGCATTTAATTTTTTAAATTACTTCTTTTTTAATTACCACAGATCAAAGAGGTTTTTTAATTATACTGTAGTTTATGTATTGATCTGGTTCTGATAAGTAACTAAAGTTATAAAACAAATGTAGTGGAGTAAAAAGTCTAATATTTGCTCTAAAATGTAGAGTAATCAAAGTATGAAGTAACAAATATGAACATACTAAAGTAAAGTACAAATACCTCCAAACTGTAGTTAAGCACCACTGACCACCTCAGGAAATCCTACAGTGGTAATTAACTGTGAATGTTATTCTGAGCTGTGCCTTTAAAATATGATGTTTACTTTGGAATAGCTATTACAATTGTGCAAAATAAGGGCTGCAACTTACAATTGTTTTCATAATTAGGTAATTTGTCATCTAAATTTACAAGTAAACAATTAAACATTTAGTGTCAGAAAATGTCAAACTAACACAGGTTCCCACTGCCCAAGGTCACATCTCTGTGTTGGTTGTTCTTCCCAACCAAAAGTGTCACTATCCACATTTACAGTGAATAAACAGAGACAATTAATGAATTATTTGTATTAGTTTTTCTGTTGTTGTTTTTTGTCTTGGTAGTTGATTTAAACAATCAAGCCATTATCAGTCTTCTAATAACTTCTAATTATTCAATAACTAATACATTTGTTTTAAATAAATATCGTAACATCCTGCCACAATTAGACAACTTAATCACAACACAAAAAAAAAAAAACAATAAACTATATAATTATTACATTTGTTTTTCTATTGTCAGGTCTATGTAGGGTGTCAAAGATAAGACATGAGCGCTGACTGCATCTCGCTGCAGGCCTGAACTCTGCAGTGTAAGAGGCTGATGTTCTGTCTGTTGGTGTCACAGTCGGCCCTCTCCCCCTGACTCAGTACAATTACAGCAGCTTTTGATCAGTCACAGTCTACAGTCATTTCCTGCTGGACCACATTTGTGTATGCACGTGTAAGCATTCCCTGCATATATAGCGCTTATACATTAGTGCATGTGGCGGGGATGGGATGGGCCTTTGCTACTTTTCCTGCTTTGCTACAAAAGCACTTAAATTAAAAATATGAAGACACACAGTTGTATAGTTCATGCTGCAATTGTTTCCAAGTACTGAGATTATCAGGTTATTGCTACACTATAATAACAGTTTTTACAGTGCGTATCAGTGAATGTAATGCAGAGCAGTTCTCCAACTACTACCCCACCAACAACAGAAAAGGTCATTTTTCAATTCCAATTTTTCCATCTATAACTTATCCAGCAAAGGCAATACATACAGTTCTATGAGCTATACATTCCACATTAGCTCATTCTCATCTGTGTTCCTCTACAGGTGAAGGTCTGGTTTCAGAACAGACGAACTAAACAGAAGAAGGACCAGGGGAAGGACTCTGAGCTGCGTTCAGTGGTTTCAGAAACAGCAGCGACCTGCAGCGTCCTCAGACTCCTGGAGCAGGGGCGGCTGCTGACGCCTCCGGGCCTGCCGGGCCTCATACCCCACTGCGGCAGCGGAACTCTAGGCTCTGCCTTGCGCCCTCCCTCCCCACCAGCTCAGGGACAGCGGCAGGCCTGCAGAGCTCACCAGCGGCTCACGGCCTCTTCAGCTTCCCCATGCCATCCTTACTCAGCAGTGTCGCCACCTGCATCTCCTCCAACCCCCTGACCATGGCCGGCTCGCTGGCTGGCAACCTGCAGGAACTTTCTGCCCGCTACCTAAGCTCCTCGGCTTTTGAGCCTTACTCGCGGACCAATGGCAAAGAATCCATGGACAAGAAAATTCTGGAATGATGCCTTGATTTTACAAAGATGGATTCTTGTTTCCTCTGGACGTGTTTCGGTTGTTTTCTTAGCTTTCACTGTCTTTGTTTGGTTTTGCTCAGTGTCTCTCATTTGTCTGTGTCATGTTCCATAGCAGTTCATGTATTCCGATTGCACATCTGGCGCCTTGTATGAGGAAGACATATTCCTGTACAAGCTCATATAACAAAGACAGGGCGGCAGCACAAAGATTTTGCATAAAATGTTCCTATGGGACCTTGTGACACACTTTGTGAGATTTAAAGACACACTCTGAGGAGACCGCTGAGGGATCTTTTCTTTTTAACAAATGTTTAGACCTGTCTATTAATCTAAAATAACAATATAGACAGTGGCCCAGAGAATATGGCTTCATATCACAAAAGCTGTCCCACTGCAGGAGAAGCGGCACATAGTGTATAGTAGGAAGTATAGGATTGGTGACAGAACGTGTCGAATGAGATACCTTTCTGAATTGTGTTTTATTATTTAATTGTTTTGGGTAGATGAATGTCACCACAGTGAGTAGGTAAAGAAAGCGAGTTGTCAAACACCAGCAACGGCGGTATGTGAGATCCAATTAGCAAATTAGAACATTTCGTTTTTAAAATGCAGCATTTTGAATGAACACTCAAGGTCAATTTTTCCACATAGAAGTGAGAGAGGAAAAAAGTGCTTGTGTCTGAAGGTCACCGCAAGGCCAGTGTCAGCACGAAACCCAGTGCAGTAGATATGTGAGTGCAATTTGCTTATTCAGATGCCTCGCAGAAATTCAGCTTATAAAAAGATCTTTTGTATATCTGTTTGTATTACGTTTGGACCAAACCAAAACGTAACCCGGAGAAGGTGTTGTCATACAATATGATAGTGCAATTGTTCAGTGTTGTTTTCTCTATGGTTTTGTGAGGATTTTAACATTTTACAAGAAACGTATTCACTTTGTGGCATTTATGTCTTCAAGATGCAGTACCTGAGTTTCGCCTCTTTTTTTGCCTGTGAGTTTAATACCACTGTGAGTTCTCGGAATTTTGCTGTACAGTTTCTATTCCGTACAGGAGAAAAGTGCAGGAATGATTTGCTGAAAGGTTTTTCATAGTAAGGCGCTTGCTTTGAGCAACACTACAAAGTGACAGGTTTTTCAGTCATTAAGACAACATGATAATCTTTCTGTGCTGTGTGAAATTTAAAACTCAAAAGCCTTTATAAAATATTTATGCAGACTGATGCATATGAAGGCTGAACTGAAATATTGAAGTATAAAGGTACTGGGAATGAGAAATATACCTTAAAATTGTTATTTTATTGTAAATTATTTACTTCTGTAAGTAATAGATTATTAGTATCTGGAAAATTATGAAAGAATGAATGTATTAGTGGGGTTGAGGACTCAGTTCTCTTTGGTGCTGTTGTTGTGAAATATCTTGCAATTTGTGAAATGTGTGGTACAAATTTGCGTATATTATGTACATGGCTACAGACAAAGACAAGGTGTTTTCAGTTTTCTTTCATACGGTATATGTTGCTATGAATCAAGTTATGATAAATGTCATGACTGTTATACCTCTCATACACACTGACCTGACATGTATGTTTCTGAAAGTTTTTACACTGTTTTTGGTAATGTGACCTGCTGATGTTATAACTGTCCACCCTGACTCCGACTCTCCGACTGGTTAATAGTCACTTCTTACTAATCCTGTTTTTGTGTCCCCCCCACCCCATACACAATGTCATAGTGTCATTTTGATTTAAAATCTATCAGTCCAGTTATCATAGTCCAGACAACATAAGAGACTTGAGTTAACCTAAATGAGCTCCCAACAATAAGCTTTAGAGGCAGCAGCCGGTGTTTCCTGAACTGAGGGCTTGCTTCTATAGGGAAGGCTGTCCCAACTTTTTAACTGCTGGAGGTCATTCCAGCCTGATGAGGGACCTGCAGACAAAACTCAGGGCCTTGAAGTGTCATGATGCAGAGTAAAAAAGTTTTTTTTTTAAAAAGATTTCAAATTAATATTATTTTAAAAACACACTAGAACTGAACATCAACCAAAGGTAAAAAAATGACAATGTACTTTTTAGTAAAGATGAAAACTATCAGATATCTGTCCATGAAACTAAATGTGATTTTTTTTAGTGCACTGAAAATACAGCATTCTACATTGCTCTATTTATTTAATTATTTGGACAACCATTGGTATGGAAAGAAGCAATATCAACAGAATATGGCATTTGCTAGACTGATGTACAGTCTATGACATAAATATACAGATATGATATAAATTTATATCATTCCAAAAATAAACATTCACAAAGTTTGACAAGAGAGAACCTTAACCGAAGGTTCACTTACTAGCCTTTCCTGAGCTTTTAACGGCATCTCATCATTTATTATTTATTTATTTTACCTCTGGTTCCCTGGTGAATTGTGAGCTTTCTTGCTTCATGCTATAGTCACACAGTTTCAGTTTTTTCTTTTGGTAGGGATAAAGAAACTTCATTATTTCTCCCACTTCTCAAACCAAACCTACACCCTTGGACACAGGAGCACTGGTTTACTGTGCACACCTAATCTGTACACTTAATTGGACTAAGCTGATTCTGTAACAAGATGAGCCCTATTGAACTGTCAGGAAAGGTCCTGGGTGAGTCTTTATTAATCCCAAGAGGGAAATTCTTGCATTACAGCAGCAACAGACACACCGCTGCAGCCAGCAGGAACAAATAATCTCACACTACACAATACAACACTACACAAAGTGCAAAAGTTACAATACAACTATCTATAAAATGAAGTTATAATCCAACCTAAAACACCAGAAGAGGGAGAAGGCCACGGGTTTCTTTGCAGTGTACAAATACCAGCATATCTAGCAGTGCAAATGATGATTGTGTAAGACACAAAAGTGCTGTGCAAGAGTGTCCAGGTTATACATTCTCATGTGGGGTATGTCTACTCCGCTAATGATGCGACACTTCTAGTGAACTGTTGGAAAGCCTAATGGCAATGGGCAGGAATGATTTTCTGTACCACCCCCTCTCATAGCAGAGCTCAGTGAGTTGGTTTGTAAAGGGTACTGTACAGGGGGGTGTGCATAATGCTTACAATTTTGTTAACAGTTCTTCTCTCAACCACACATTCCAGAGAGTCCAGTCTGTAGCTAACGACCAAACCAGCTTTTTAAATTATATTATCAAGTCTTTTTTTTTTTACCAACCCTCAAGCTGCTGCCTCAGCAAACTGCCACAAAGAACAAAGCACTTGCAACAACACACTGGTAGAAGATCTTCTGCATCTTGTTGCATATACTGAAAAAGTAGAGTTGGTTCATTCCCTTCTTGCAGACAGCCTTGGTGTTGATCATCCAGTCCAGTGAGTTATCAGTGTGCACACCCAAGAACTTGTAGTTCTTACAGTAACTGATTTTCTTTTCCTTGAACTTAGATGGGCTTAGTCTCCACCGTATTCCTCCTGAAGTTAGTCACCATCTCGCCACCATTCTGCAGGTGACAAAACCTGGAAATGTACTGAAAGTCAGAGGTGTATGGTGTAAACTGAAGTGGAGACAGGACAGTGCCCTGTGGTGCTCCTGTGCTACACAAACTGGGGAATAGTTGGGAAACAAATTTCCAAGTGTAGTCATAAATTATAAGACATAAGTCAAAAAAAGCAGCAGAGGACATAAGAGCTTAAGCTTCTGTTTAGCAGTCTATCAAGGTGTGTAGTTAATGTTGGCAGTGATGGAAAGTAATTATATTTATTCAAGTAAAGTATTTTGGTGCCGCATTAAGGTATTTGTACTTCAGTATTTGCTATTGTTCAGTTCAGTTCCACAGCTTTTCGAAGGCAAATCTTATGCTTTTTATCTGTTACATTTATCTGAGAACTGTACTAGCATGCAAATTTTACACATAAAATATATAATCAGCCTATAAAACAGGATGTATCGTTAAAGAATAAAGTACCAGTACCCTGCAGTAATTAAAGTAGTTGCAGTGAGCACCCCTGTGACCAGCTATAACACTATGCTGCTTATATACTGATATACTGCATCATTAATAACTGTCCCAAAAATACTGCAAGTATATTTTTTCTTATAATAATTGTGTACCTTTACTACAGTAAAGATAGTAGAAGGGCTTTTACTTGTACACAGTGTGGTGCGGCAACATTTATTGAAGTAAAGGGCCTAAGCTGTTGCTGTGAAATGGACATGGTAGGAACAACCACCACTCCTACAACCGCCACAAGTTTAAGCTTGTTGGTAATATTTAGACAATTTTGTGTTCTGTTTTGAGTTTCTTTCTGCTTCTTCTGGTGGGGTAATCACAATAGAAATGTCTGTCCAGTAATAGAGAAAATCTTTTGTAAGAAACCAATCCTCCCTACTGTTTCTTGGAAATGTCCCCTTACGAAGAAAAAGAAGAGGTCACACATGTGCCTCCTACCCCTGCTCCAACCCCCACAGCCACCCCCACCCATTCTCTCCCTTCACCCTGTAGGCCAATTAGAAGGAAGGTCGAGGAGGTTTTTGTAAGCGGGGGTTCTCAGGGAGTGTGTATATGTCTATGTGTGTATGCAGGCACAGAGCTGTCATTGCTGCAGACCACCAACACGTTTTCTCCTGTCACATGGTCCCATCTTTAAGCTCAGGTCTTAGGAGGTGAAAGAAAGGGTACATCCTGTCTTGTTTTTAGTATGCTTTTTTTGTCCTTGTCCTTTTTGTGCCATACAGTGGATCTGGGGATTAACATGCTAACAAGCCTTACTAAAGAAGCGACCCTCTTCTAGCACAGAGATCCAGCAACTCTAGACAAAACCTGTGAAAAACCTGTACAGCAATAGTCACACTCTGCTTCCTCACACAACAGTTCATCTTATAACTAATCAAAGGAGCAAGGGGAGCTAAAGTCCCCTGAAAGCAAGTGTTTCACTTATGTATTCCATAAGATCAAAGATCAAAGATTTTTATTGTCAATTCACTATATGTGCAGGACATACAGAAAATCAAAATACCGTTTCTCTCTCACCTAGTATTGAATGCCATGAAAGCCAAGAGATAACCATACTTCCAAATGTGCTGAAATTCTACAGTTTCTAATTGCGGCCATAGCACCCTTGCTATTGTACTGGCATGTATTTTGCAGTTTAGAATGTCAAGCTATCTTCCTGTCAATTTAAAATTTCACCAGTGGGTACACAAAAGGAGTACAAATTCCTAGCAGGTTAAATGTTTTACAGAATATGTCCTTAATAGAAAATGTCGGTCACTTTCTATATTAATAGTATTTTCAACAGTCTCTGTACTGAAACTAAAACTCATGATGAATTTCCTCTATGGTTTAATGTCTATCAGCTGTCAGTCCTGGATTAACTTATGCGTCTGTGCCGTAGACCTCCACTGTTGTTCGAAAACAATTAAAAAAAACACATCAGTGTGCTACTGCACAAAACACCAGACCTGCATATTTGTTAAAAATGTCACCCCAAAGGTTTTTGCGGCATCTGAAGTAAGTAAGAGTCAGTTGCACATGTGCAAGATCTCTGTGTGAGCGTGCCACTTTGTTTACAGTCCTCTGTAAGCTGTTACAGATCCAACTTGAAAATGTCAAATGGGTGAGAAGGCCAATGTTAATTAGAATGTAGTTATTGATTTTAGCTGTAGAGTAACATTACACTGCATTGGCACAGCTCTGAAACACAGTTTAGAAGTAATATTATTGAAGGCTGTGGGAGCATAAAACCTCCCATGGTTAGTGTTGGGCTGTCTGCATGAATAAGTGAAGTGGCAAACAGTGTTAAACTACTACAGATGCAGATTTTCAAACTTAGTACTGCTGGTGATTGAGAATGAAATTTGGCATTATCAAACATTTTAGCTCAAAAAGCCACGGACAGGTTTCATACAAGTCAAAAGCTGGATGGGGTCCTTGTTCTACATCAGCATTACACTGTATACTGCACTGTGTATAGTCATTTAATATCTCTTTTTCAATTGCAATGAATAAAGTGCTGCCTTTTTATTGTCATTTTTATGCCTCCGCACAGGCAATAGCCATGACAGGGGGTTTTACTCAATTCAGTTCAATTCAACTTTATTTGTATAGCGCGAAATCACAACAAAAGTCAACTCAAGACACCTTACACAGTCAGGTCTAGACCTTACTATTGTTATTATTATAGAGGAAAACCCAACAAATCCCCCTTGAGCAGCACTTGGCGACAGCGGGGAGGAAAAACTCCCTTTAGCAGAAGAAACCTCCGACAGACCCCGGCTCTTGGTGGGCGGCCTTCTGCCTCAATGAGTTGGGGTGAGTGGATAGAGGAGAGACAAAAGAAAAAAAGCAACAAGACACAACAAACAACAGCAAACAATCAAACACTGGTCAGGTTGATGTGGCCGGTGACTGCTCATCAGATACATAGAGCTCCAGAACCAGGGCAACCTGCAGAAAGGTACAGGGATGATAAGGTACAGTACTCACCCTGTGTTTGCCCTGTGTTTGCTAGTGTTTTGGCTCTATGTTTATTTGGTGTTTCGTTAGTTTGTCTCATCTGTCCTGACGGTCCTCTGCATCCTTTGATTTGTTGTCTGGCTTGCTCTGCTAATTCCCTCACTGCTCCATGCCAGAAGGAAGCCACACTTACGCTGCTACTTACCTGACTGCCAGCTACGCTGTACAGTTACTCAACTGCCAGCTACTTCTCATCCACTCATTCTGGTCCTCTGTTTCCTGCCACCCTCTTATTTGCTTTACGCACACTCTGGCCCTCCTGTTACTTGACACCGCCTGTCAACTTACCTGCACGTCCTTCTGCCATCTCACCTACCTGCCCTGGTCCCCTGCCCCTCCTTGTCCCTGCTGCTTCCCCGGTGAGCCGCTGACTTCTCCTGGTTTCTCGCCCCCAGTTCTCCTGGTTCCTCACCCCTGTCTTCTTTGTTCCTCGCCACCAATCCTCCTGGTTCCTGCCCAACATGTCCTCCATTGCCTGCTGCACTTCCTGCCAGTCCCCTTGCCTGTTCAACCTCTTGCCACCCAACATAATTTCTCATTTATTTATTAAACTTCTTCCTATAGTTACTCCTTCTTTTATTTTCTGAGTCTGCATCTGGGGCCCAACTCACATATTCACCCTAACACTCTGAGGTCTTTAAGATACAATAGAGCATTGTCATTAAGGGCTTTGTATGTTTGTAT